CACTTTTGGTAATCCAACACCCCTTTGGTCCCATACCTGTCGGATTATCAAGGGACAGCTGTATATCAGAACAGAAATCAAATGATTGGGGCAATTGCAAAGCTGGGTTAATGGATAAAACCCTTGATTTATAAATGGTTAATATACTTCTATACCAATTAATTTTTTCTATTACAAAAAGTATACAGATATTAAACTAATATGTAGATTTTAATATAATAATAATAATAAATCAGAAAAAACTGAAAGTTTTGTTATTTAATAATTATTACAAAATGTCATATATTCCACATAAATATATTAAAAAACAAAGTTTAATAATTTCTATAAACAAAACTCACAAACCTAATTGTGCTTTGCATTTAGTTGTGAAAACTGTTATGTCATTAATGTTTTCAGTCCACACCAAGGACCTTCCTCAGGTAAGTTTGAGAGATTTATTTATAGCGATTAACACTTTGTTGTTAGAAGATTCATATCATCAAAATGATTAAAGTAAAGGAACACCTAGTTGTTAAGATTGCTAAATATAAATAATAATTAATAATACCTCTTTAAAAATTGCTCCATAAAACTGTACAATGAACGGGCAATCATTACTTTTCATCACTACTTCTAAATCCATCAGTAATTGTTTTTGTTCTTTTTCATCAACTGTCGACCGAATTCTCTATATTAAAAAACAAGACAATACCATTAAAATTTGTTATAATATATATAATTAAATCACTAAAATTCAAAAGTTTTATGTATTATATCTTCACTTAAAGAAGTTAATGTAATTTAGAATAGAATTTTTTTATTCTTTCTTAATATTTTACATAATTACATTAAAATGTAGAACTGTTCTCATGTAAAATTATTCTTATATGTAATTAATGAAATACAGTGGTGCCTCATATGATGTACGCCTCAAATAACAGATGCTGCGAACAACGGACTTTCTGTTTGGCCATTACGTGACTCGAGCAACAGACTGGCTGCAAACAACAGACTTTCTGCAAACAAGTGCGAATGATGTTTCCATTCTTGCCATTGCCAATGACAATCTTCTATTTTTATAATATATTAGTATTATNGATTGCGGTACCAGTATTTCTCGTAGAATAAATTGAATGTGCACAAAAAGCAGATATGCATTAACATACGCACGCAATTCTAATGATAAATACAGAATGCGAATATAATAGAATGAGATTATAATAAACAAAAGCTACACACTGCGAGTGGAAACATTAATTTGTCTAAAGCTTCTAGCCCTTCTCTATTCTATTGAAAGTTCTTGTGTCACTATATTTTAATGTAATTTTAACAAGGGCTCATATGCTGTACTGAAATTGTAACACGTATTATAATGCTATTGTTGATGTATGTACTTCCATTGAGATTAGAAATTAGTATTTGTATAGTTGATAGAAGAGTAATAATACGTAAAACCTGCACATCGTGTTGCAATGTTATAGGGATATGGTATAATGTCGACTAAAGCAGGCAAAAGTAGAAACGCGTTTTGACAAAAGCTTGGAACGATGTATATTTTTAATTTTTGTTTATAGCATATTCCAAAAGTTTTAAGTCTATTTTTATCACGAAATTACGTAATTTTCTTAATAATACTTTTTGTTAAGCTTGGTTTAATTAACACAGTTAATAATACCTTTAGAAAATATTCCAGTTTGTAAGTGAAATTTTCACAAATTATTTTATTGAATGCTATGTGAAAAGTAATTGCCAAAGTATCTATATTGATATTAATCATATAATATGAACGAGTTTTTCTTAAAATACTTTGAAATAACTCTTAATGAAAAATGTGGACTTTTTTGAAAATCAAATGACATGGCATGATTTTATATTTTTACTGAACGTAGAGTTGTGGGCTCTTTTCATTGTTACATCTAAAAAGTTTAAAACGCCGTTAATATATATACATATATTATACTATTATATACTATATTATATAATTATTTTTATTTGTTAATTAATTAAATATAGAAGAAGGGTGAAAAGTTGTGCTTGTGGTTGTTCCACTCGCCTACCAGGCATTACATTTCACATGTGTTGTTTTAATTCACTTTTTAAACTCGTAATCTGATTTTATTACGAGAGTTGTAATATCCGTTTATCCAAACTTCAATTCTGTGCGTGTGAATTCATATAAGGCTCCGTTTTTATGTTTTTTTTTAAATTGAAATTTTTATTTATTTATTTATTTTGTATTTTCCAAAATAATTTAATTACAACTGGGTTTCCCTAAAATACCCTCTTACCTAATTATTTTACTGTAATTATTATAAATATCAATATCACAAAAACATGTTCACCTTTTCACTTACAGAATATTGCTGTAACAACCGTTCCTTTGTGTTTATGCTTTAAGTCTTAATTCGTAGAATAAATGAAAAAAAAAATGTTTACATTACTTGTTACAATAGCAACTGTAGCTGCAAACGGACGAACAGTGAACAGTGAACATACATGTACAGTACTGTACAGTATGCATATTTAGAGTAATCACATATACATACCTCACGCACACTATATATGCACTGGTATATCATGCAGCACCGAATCCGATTTTATTACTTTATCGGGCACTAAACATTTTTTTTATTTGCTTATTGGTTCATCCAACACTGTATCACGTTTAAGTACACTGTCGGATTGGGACGACTGTTAAATCTTAAAACTTCGTTAAGATTTACATATAAAATTTGGTCGCTCAAATGATAATAGTGATATAAATAGAGTATCTTTATTTGAAGAAATGAAACCTATACAATGTTTTTTTTAAAATAAAACCATATACTCCAGCAAAATTTTGAACTTTATTTATGGAATCGGTCAGTTGATTTTTTTTTGCAAACCTGGCCATCTAGCCATTTCTTTAAGAACTAGCAGACCCCGCCACGCGTCGTTGTGGCTCAAAATGTATCTATTATAAATGTATAACACTTCCCCTGTGGGGGGGAAATTTTACGAAANAAAAATTATTTTTTTATTTTGTACAAACAAAATAAATGTATTGAAAAATATAAAAACAAAAAAATATATACTTTAGAAGTTGATCTAGTATCAAAAACGTTCGATTCAGCATGACACACAGTCCTCAGAAAAACACCACACAAAAGTGTCAGTGTTGCCAGCTAAAACACACACAGCAACAAAAAAAATATTGGAGTAGCCTAAGATATATCCAAAGATTGCAGTGCCACAACAATAGCGAAAAGTTAAATTTGCGGACTGGAATGCTTTCGGATAACCGATGTTTCGGATAAACGACTCTCTACTGTACTTTTGAAATATTCTTACAAACTGTGATGGAGACTCCAATCAAAAATTTACTCTTTAACATTCATTTAAAGCAAGGCTGCCCAAACCCAGGCCCGCAGGCCAAAAAGTGGCCCGCCCACAGTAGCGGTCGGCTGTCACCATGCGCGATGTCGTGTTACCAAAAATGGCAACTGCCACGTGATTGGTCGAACGCGGAATGAACTATGATTTCAGTCACCACCACACAGCTGTTAACACCTAACCTACGTGTTTACAAAATAATTTAATTACAACTGGGTTTCCCTAAAATACCCTCTTACCTAATTATTTTACTGTAATTATTATAAATATCAATATCACAAAAACATGTTCACCTTTTCACTTACAGAATATTGCTGTAACAACCGTTCCTTTGTGTTTATGCTTTAAGTCTTAATTCGTAGAATAAATGAAAAAAAAAATGTTTACATTACTTGTTACAATAGCAACTGTAGCTGCAAACGGACGAACAGTGAACAGTGAACATACATGTACAGTACTGTACAGTATGCATATTTAGAGTAATCACATATACATACCTCACGCACACTATATATGCACTGGTATATCATGCAGCACCGAATCCGATTTTATTACTTTATCGGGCACTAAACATTTTTTTTATTTGCTTATTGGTTCATCCAACACTGTATCACGTTTAAGTACACTGTCGGATTGGGACGACTGTTAAATCTTAAAACTTCGTTAAGATTTACATATAAAATTTGGTCGCTCAAATGATAATAGTGATATAAATAGAGTATCTTTATTTGAAGAAATGAAACCTATACAATGTTTTTTTTAAAATAAAACCATATACTCCAGCAAAATTTTGAACTTTATTTATGGAATCGGTCAGTTGATTTTTTTTTTGCAAACCTGGCCATCTAGCCATTTCTTTAAGAACTAGCAGACCCCGCCACGCGTCGTTGTGGCTCAAAATGTATCTATTATAAATGTATAACACTTCCCCTGTGGGGGGGGGGAAGTTTTCGAAAATTCCTTCTTAATGTACATTCTGTTGACGTACCCTATTAAAACGCAATCAAAAACACAAAAAACCGCATCTAAAATAGTATAAATAGAAGCAGAGTTCTTTACGGTAAGCCTTAATCCTGTCCATCTCCCTTCAGTGGGAGGAATTTCGACATGTATATTATATAAAAACACGTGCGTATTCGAATGCAGCGTTGTGTCAAAATTTCAAAGGAATCGGTAGGAACAAACGAACATTACATTTTTATTTATATAGATAGATAGAAAATGATCCGCTTTAGTTCATTTTCACAGAAAAGCGTAATGCCTCACAGAAAAGCAAACTTAGGACGTCGTACTCGTAGCGCCATCTGTTGGACGTAAAAGCCTTAATCTAGATTATATCTTTTAATTTATATGAATGTTTAACGGAATGATATACAGCCTATGTCCTCCCTGAGGTTTCATTCTAAATATTGGTGAAAGAATTTTTGAAATCGGATGAGTAGTTTCGGAGATTACCTGCTGCAAAGAAACTTTTACATACATACATACAAACACTAGTAGCCCGGGACGCCCCCTAGTGGGTGTTCCAGCAGCATTACAAATTCTTGAGGCATGTTTATAATGCACTTAATATATAAAAGTTGTGTGCACTTAATGTTTAAAAGTTTGATGCAGTTAATATATATAAATGTATACAATTCTTTATCTTAGAAACTAAACTTAAAATATCAATACACAAACAGCAAACAGTATTTGTACATGAGAAAGTGAAGCTATTCTTTACTCAAAATGTATTCCATCATTTATCCCATCATAAAACTTCTGTATACACAACATTTTTGGTTAAAAAAGTATTATTATTTGGAATCAATTTGCCTTGTTGTGTCATTTTGTCTTCTGTATCGTTTTGCTTCTGCCTGCCTGTGCAACATTGCAGATCTCAGCTCATGAGTTTCATTCTGCAAGCCTCCACTTGTTGATTGTGCTATTCTCTGTAATGGTTCCTGCGCACGTCTCTCCCTTTGTCTCACAGCAGCGGCAGCTTTACGTTCCCCCACAGTGGAGTATTTCTTTGGTCGTGCCATGAAAGGTTTCTATTATTATATTACCTTAACTATTTCAAACCTTATCGTTTTATCGTAGTGGTTCAAATCTATCTGGTTTTTCGTTATTCGCCCCCTAGTGAACATTACAGGCATTCCGTGACAATAATAAATTCCTATTACAAATATATTGAATTATTTATATTGTTATATATTGGGCAAATAATAATTTATTGGCCAAATGAATAATAATAATTTATATTGTTAATTTAAATAATAATTAAAATTGTTAATTTGAATGTTTGAAATATGACACATGATAGGGGCACCTCTAGTGTCCGTTATGAAACGGTTACGGGACGGACACGAAATGAATGGGTTATATATATATAGATAGATTACCTCTTTATAATATTAGTATAGATATAGCCTATTTATCATTAACGGTAATAAATGCTTCTGAAATTACAAAAATAAAAAATTACTTAAGATATTCAGTGTACCAAGAGGTGTTCTCCGTTGCGTGTCGCTTCGCGTTGAATTTTCGTCGATGTTAAGCCTAACGAAAATTTTCTGAAATAATAATCGTGGCTATTGTATCGTTAAAAAATTTTTTTATTTTGTACAAACAAAATAAATGTATTGAAAAATATAAAAACAAAAAAAAATATACTTTAGAAGTTGATCTAGTATCAAAAACGTTCGATTCAGCACGACACACAGTCCTCAGAAAAACACCACACAAAAGTGTCAGTGTTGCCAGCTAAAACACACACAGCAACAAAAAAAATATTGGAGTAGCCTAAGATATATCCAAAGATTGCAGTGCCACAACAATAGCGAAAAGTTAAATTTGCGGACTGGAATGCTTTCGGATAACCGATGTTTCGGATAAACGACTCTCTACTGTACTTTTGAAATATTCTTACAAACTGTGATGGAGACTCCAATCAAAAATTTACTCTTTAACATTCATTTAAAGCAAGGCTGCCCAAACCCAGGCCCGCAGGCCAAAAAGTGGCCCGCCCACAGTAGCGGTCGGCTGTCACCATGCGCGATGTCGTGTTACCAAAAATGCCAACTGCCACGTGATTGGTCGATTGGTCGAACGCGGAATGAACTATGATTTCAGTCACCACCACACAGCTGTTAACACCTAACCTACGTGTTTATTACACTTGTTCTACTTTTGAGTCGACTTTTGTATATTAAAATTAAATTGTTGTCACCAAATATTGAAAAATTATTAGCTAATAAGCCCCTTCATAGATCTCATTGATGTATTTTTTATTAGGTATTATTAAAACATATGCAACTTAAAGCTTTGTTTGATTCAAATACCTATCCATTTATAGAAGAATCATGAGTGTAAGCAAGTATGATTTACAAGGTGGCCCGCCGGCTGACATGTAATTGAAATTATATCCAGCCTCCGAAATGAATTGGGCAACCCTAATTTAAAGTGTGGGTTCGGCCAGGCCCACAATGGGGCGGCCGAGTGGTGAGGGACGGGCCCGACATATCTACTTATTTTTATTATTCGAATCATTATAGATTATTGAATAATTTTACTTCGTTAATAAACATATTTTTTACAATAATATAACATAACAATAATTATTCTACTAATTTACTGCGTTTTAAATTTTAAATTTATATTTATAAAATGGATTATAGCAGATGGCGCTTCATTAGCTTGTTGATGTAGAGAAGTGTGCTTAGTGTTCAATTGGTAATTTTATTATTCAAAACAATGAATAAAACTTTCCATTGAAATATGCCACGCCGCGATAGTTCTAACTCGGACAGCGATCGCAGTGATCATCGAAGGAGATCTAGAAAAAGTAAAAAAAGAAAAAGGTAATTATTCGTTCAATGTATAAATATACATGTATAATTGAGTTAATGTGTGTCTAAGTGTAGCAGCAATTGTTATGAGTATGTAATAAATTGATAAAATTATCTAACTATTTGACACTTAACATATATAAATTAGTGAATAGTCATACAGTACTTAGAATTATATCAAACATCATTGTTTTTTTGAATATAAAAAATTTTGAAAAAAAAATATTAAATTAAATGCAAGATGCACTTTTCATTTAGCATAGTGTGAATATCATTGCTGAAATTTTAGATCAGATAAATCATTTGATGGCATTTATCATATAGGCTTATAATGCTTTGTATAAGTTTACTTAAAATCTTAATCTTCAAGTTTGTATAGTAACTGATATTGTATTTATCGACTGTTGGATTAATTATAAGCTCGATACGTTACTTGAATAACGATGAGAAGTGGATCCGGGAAACTTAAATGCTATGATTTTTTTTTCTGTAGATAAAAAAAAAACAAAGACAAACTGAATTACTCAGTTGAAGACAATATTTAACCCAGCTGTAAATTACAAGCTAATAATTTTGATCATCTTAATCAGTTATCATAAGATTCAAAGTACAGAAATATTTTTTAATTTAAATCTTAACCAATTAAGTTAATGGAAAATTTTAATTCAACACAATTTACTGCTGGATTAAAGGTTATTGTCAGTTTTGAAGTTTGTTTACAATCAATAACAAATCTTAATACAGTAAAACCTTGTTAAGTCAAAGTTTAGGGGGGTAAAAAATTCTCTACTTAAGGTTAGAATTTTGAGTTAGAGTTTAATATCCAGTTTTCTCAAAATGGTAATTTTTCTGTTATCAAGCATTTTTCAAGAATCTGTTCACAGAATGGTTACAAAACTGGTTACTGTTTATGACTTTTGAGAGCATTTTCAAAGTTCTCCCCTTGTGTCCTAATCAGAACAGTCATAATGTACTGTACAGCGAAAGAATCTCAATTTGAGGTTGTGTTTAACAAGAACAATAGTGTTTGAGATCACAGAGCTATCAAAGGGCTGTGGATACATGGGAAAATAGGTTCAACTTAAAAATGCCAGCAATTTTGACTTAATGAGACCATATTGTATGAGAAACCCTATATACTGTGCCCAAGACCCATAGACAGCTTCAAACTAACGCAATTCAATTTAGCAAAGTTTTACTATATAATGTTCTGTGGCATGCTGTCCATGGAAGCTGTGGAAGTGCAGCTTCCCTTGTATTTTCTAAAATATAAATACATATTGTGTGATTATTTTCATATTTTAACATACTTTGAATTACTGTATTTAAAATTAATATTTTATTATAACTGCATTATTTATCTTATTACAAATTTCTATACTACATGTGAAAAGAATGATAAGATTGCTATTGTATATTTGAATATAAATTGTATATGCATATTCCCAATGGAAGCTCTGTATTGTTGAATATGAGATAACTTTTATGGCGAAAATATTTGAATCGTGTAAAGCAGCCAGATTATATGCATTCACGCATGTGCTTTACGGACCACCAACCTCATGCAGTTTAGCTCGTGGATGCTACACACCATATAACGCTTCCATTGATTCTATCCAGGGCTGGCACAGCTTCCCTATCATCAAATGTCACTGCACACCACTGTAATGTTATCTTGTAATGAAAACTCATATTTTCAGCTCTATTTTAATAAAAAAAAAATTACTTTGCATTGTCCACTCAGCAGTTACAAGTGATCAGCAAACAACTATTTAAGATTTTTCTCTAGGTAGTATAAAATGGAAGCTGAACATGAAAACTTATCTATAGCAAAAATATAAATACATATTGAATATTATATTTGCATATTTGTATTGAATATTATATTATAAATAAAAACTTTTAAAATAATATTAACATATCCTTCCTAAAACATTTTAAGGCTTTATTAGCCTTAAAAAATGTTTTGGGAAGAATATGTTAATATTATTTTAAAAGTTTTTATTGCTTTCAATCAAAATATTTTGTATTTACTTACTATTGGGTTGTTCGGAAGATAAGTTTGTTTTTTTACCACTAGACGGATTAGTCGTATTTTTCCCGTATTTTCATTCTAAACCACATTATCATTATATATTTTGACAGCTAGCATTTTAAGGCTTATTTGTAAAAAAATTTGTTTGATTTTGTTCAATTGTTTATTTTTTGTGTCCCATCAAATATGGAAGATCGGAAGCAGCATTTTTGGCATATTTTGCTCTTTTATTACTGAAAAGGTAAGAATGCTGTTCGAGCGAGAAAAAAATCGTGCGCCGTGTATGGAGAAGATGTATTGACAGAATGACAGTGCCAAAACTGGTGTACAAAATTTTGTTCTGGCAATTTCAATATTGAAGATGCACCACGTTCTGGATGGCCAGTTGAAGACAATGAAAACAAAATAAAGGTACTGCTTGAAGCAAACTGCCGAATACAACATGTGAAATCACTAAGAGATTAAATTTGTCAAATTGAACTGTTTATGATTACTTGAAACAAATTGTTTCATTTCAAAGCTTGATATATGGGTTCCACATGTTCTTAAAGAGAGATGCTCTCTTTGGTGGGATTTTAAGGAAATTTTTTTTTTGGAGCTTTTACCAGACAATTTAACAATTGATTCGAAATTGTACTGCCATCAAGTAAACAAATTGAATAATATCATCAAACAGAAAAGGTACCAGAATTGATCAACAAAACAGGTGTAGAGTTTTACCACGATAATGCCAGATTTCACACAAGTTTGGTAACTCATCAGAAACTGTTATAACTTAGATGGGACACACTATCACACTGACCATATTGGTCAGATCCAGCACACTCAGATTATTACTTGTTCCAGTCTATACAAATTTTTTTTAAATGTAAGACATTTACTTGAAATGACAATGTCAAAAATTACTTGGACCAGTTTTTTGTAAGCAACAATCAAAATTTTTATGAATGTGAAATCATGCTTCTACCACAAACGATGACAACAGGTATTTGACCAAAATGGTTGATATATAATTCAATAAAATATTTATTTATTATAATAATAATGGTTTTTTTTCCACGGAAAAAAATGAACTTACTTTCTGAACAACCCAATATTATTCAATTATGACAAAATAAAATGCATTGCAAACTAATCTAAACTAATTATTGTAAAGGGTTATTTAGTTTAGCAGTTCCCAACTTTTTTTTGACTTGCATACTCCTTGGCAACCCATTTTCCTAAGTTTTATTCCCCTTTTCACATTTTTGCTAAGTTTTATTTCATGTGTTCATCAAACAGTGATGTCTTGACTATACAGCACTGTACAATTACATATAAAAGATGTTCTTTAATTGAAATGCATTGGAGGAAGGACAGCTAAATATAAAAATATAATTATATTTTTATTTAAAACTAAGTATTGAATGCCATGACATTGTCAAAGGCCAAATATTATTATAGTATATTCTCCATTATTAATTTTTTTTTCCACATTTCTCTAAATCACCAAGCATGTATCCCCAGTTGGGAATCGCTGCTTTAGTGGGATTATATATAAAGAAAAGCAAGTAAAAAATGGCTACAGACAAGTTTGACATATTTTTAAAAATTAACCCATAATTTAGGTTTATTTTTGGTTATAACATTTAGCAGAAAAATGAACAATTTTGGTTTGGATTAGTGAGAGTATTGTAATATACAGTATGTATAATTATACATATGAGCACAAAGATATATTGCTATGTATGTTGACAGTAAAAAATGATTATTAACATATATGGTGAATGACAGAAACTGAAATATCCTAAGAGAGTTTTTCGACATTCACCAGTGAATTCATGAAGAATGTTAACATTCTCTGATGCCCAAATGTGCAGTGCCAACTCATTCATAACTTGTACTCAAGGAAAATGGATTTTTGTTTTCCTTGCCCTAGTAAAGAGCACTTCTAGTATTGGTACTCTTGTATGAACAACTTTAAAGTACATTTATGAGACTTCATTAGTCAGATTATTATTTTTGTTTATTTTTTCTCTATTTGAATATTTTTGACAGCTTATTTCTCATTCAAGGATGTCATCTTATTCATCAAGTCAATGTATATCTTATAAAAATGTTATTGTTGAACACTGTTTTTGTTTTGAAACATGAAAATATTTCTTGTAGCAGATATTTAAGCATAGTGATATATTGTCATAACATATAAAATTTGCTTGATAAGCCACTACCTGGAGTATGAAGATGGTTTGCATCTATAAATGTCTGACATCTAGTTCTAGTACTTTGGATTTAGTTTAGTTTTAGCAGAAATTGTTATTTTTTTATAATTTTATTTTTTTTCTGTACACCACTATTGATGCACTATGTCATATGATCTCCATTCCTATGATAACGGCATCTGGTCAAACAAATCTCTGAACTTTAGAATTGTGTGAATCCATTATGCCCAAACATGGCTTGTTAGCCAAAAACATTACCATCTTTAATTTACTTTTTCATGTGCTTAAGCAATTTTTGAGATTAATCAAATAATTTATTATTAATTAATTAGAAATGATAAACTATACATTATCAAAATATTTTTTTTGGTAATGTATAGTTTATAGTGAATAAATTTTTCATTTTATCAAAAGTTTGGAGAATTACAAGGGAGAAAAGATTGATCTGTAGAAAAAAACAAAAGGAAAAAATAAAATAAAATATTGGTTTCTAGAAAACTGTTGCATTAACATATACTGTAGTATTTGTTTAAATATAATAAGTATTTTCACTTTAGTGTCATATTTAGATATCAACATATCAGTAAAAAATATTTAAATTTTTGCCACAATAATCTTTTCTCTGGATTTTTTTTTGCAACTAAAATGCTGGAAGATGTAAATAAAATAAACAAACATTTCAGATTTCATGCTAAAATCAGAAATAGATCTAGTCAAAATTTCTCTCTTACTTTTGTTTCATATTATAATAATAGTACTGGTCAATCTTTAAGCTC